GGAGACTTTATGTCCAGATTTCTCATTTCTGTCTCATGTCTGTCTTGCAGCCTCACCAGAGACATCCCCATATTTGTCTGTACCGTGGCCTTCCCAGGAGTGCCGTGCCCGCTGCACATCTTTGAGCCGCGCTATCGGCTGATGATGCGTCGCTGCATGGAAACCGGCACCAAGAAGTTTGGCATGTGCAGCTATGAGCACGGCAAAGGGTATCATTTACTTTTTATTCTATATACAGGAAATAAAGTAACTAGGCATCAAATCTAGGTTCTGTTTTCATGAAGATCCTGCGCAGTAAATTCCCTTAAATAGTTGTGGAGCGTTTCCTCTCTGTGGAGCTCACAGCAGGCTCAGGGGGGTTTAATGTGGCGGCGATCAGTGCTGCAGAATGAAGCAGGTTACCGAGCAAAGCCTGAATTAATCCTATCGGATCCAGAAGGACAGGAAAGAAGAAGCCCGCTTTGCTAACAGATGGAAAGGGAATTATTCGCCTTTATGAAATTTCAAAAACAAATTTCCATCCAGCATAAAAACAGTAATGAGCAAGAAGGTTCGTTTTGTAAATGGAAACTTGAAAAAAAAATCTCATCCAGAAATTAATCTTTGAGAAAATGTCTTAATCAAGATTTTGAGAGAAACTTTGATCTCAAAATCAGATTTTGTTTTTTAAAAACTGTTTTTTCTTTATTTCTATTTTATTTATTTATTTATTTATTTTTTACAAATTTTAGATTAAATTTTCTGAATTCTATTCTTATCGAATTGCATTTCACAGATTGCATCCTTTTCACTTCAGGCAAAATAAAATCATTAAAGTCGACCAATCACATCCACTTTATTCACTCGTGAAAAGTCGTGCACCACTCTGGAGAATTCAGGAATGCCACGTTTGGAACAGGCGACTCCCTACGACTTTAATTCATAAACGGGGAAAAGAAGAGTAACGAGCAAGAAGGTTCCTGAGAGACTATGGAGTGAATTATGCTCCATTTTTATTGAAAGTAAAAAAAAAATGTTTTGTAAATGGAAACTTGTAAAAATCTCATCCAGAAATGAATCTTTCTTAAGATGCAAGTTATCAAGCAACTTTGCTCTCAAAATCAGATTTAGTTTAATCAAAAACATTTTTTTCACTTTTATTTAATTTTTTCACTAATTTTATAGTTTCAAATTATTATTTTTCAGATAAAATTTTCCATATTGAATTTCATTTAACAGATCACATCCTTTTTATTAACTACAGGCCCGATAAAAACACTTAAACCTGAACGCTGCAGACCAATAGAAATGCTCCTCACTTCAGAACAAAACTCACCCCCCAAAAAAAGTAAAATTTGGAAAATGCAACTGGTAAAACTTAATCTTTTTTGGATTTAAAAAAAATTTTGGGATTAAAAAAGAGTTATTGCGGAAATTTAGAGTGATAATATAAAAATAAAAAAACCTAGAAGTCTGTTCAGAAAGTGTTTTATAAACCAGGGGGAAAAAAATCCCCATTAAAATTAAATAAAACTGAACCATCGTTAGAGCTGAACGTGACGGAAAGAAGTGTTTTGGTAAAACTAGATCTGCTCTGCAGGTTTGCCGACTACGGCTGCATGCTGGAGATCCTGGACATGGAGAGGCTGCCTGACGGACGATCTTACGTTGAAACCGTGGGCGGCAGCAGATTCAGAGTGCTGAAGCGAGGACAGAGGGACGGCTACCACACAGCAGACATCGAGTACCTGGAGGACGTCAAGGTCAGCGTCTCACAAATTCTGCAAAACCAATAAAAAAAAACGCAAATATTTAAAAAATTGGGAAGTTTTTCTGGATTTTTTAAAATCCTCTGTGTTTTCTCTGTGTTGCAGGTTGAGGGGAGTGAGCTGGAGCTCTTGCAGCATCTTCATGACAGCGTGTACCAGCAGGCTCAGGACTGGTATCAGCGTGTGGGCAGCCGCAGCCGCGAGCACATAAACAGGCAGCATGGCAGCATGCCGGATAAGGAGGCCGACATTCAGGTTTGTACCGTAACATGCTTAGTAACATTAATTCACCCGCCTCTAGTGGCTCAAAATCCACCGAGATCTGAGGTTTAAAATCTCTTACTGCGACAGTAACAAAATTTAGGGATGCACGATATCGGGATTTTGGCCGATATCCGATATGCCGATATTTTAAAACTCATGTAGCCGATAATCGATATCGATACCGATGTTAAAGCTGGACAAAAATAAGTAGTCATTGAAAATAGCAGTTTTGTTATCCATTTCTGACAGTTTGAAAAATAATATACTCAAATATATTTTCATATGCTGATATCAAATAGATTTTTAAAAACGCGGTATCGATCTATTTTACTTTCAGAATCTCGTGAAATTTCATCGTTCTGTTACAAACTCTCGTGATATTTTGCAAATTCTTGTGAGATTTTGTTAGTAAAATAGATCGATACCGCGTCAATATATCAACATATAAAAATAGGGCAACATTTGGTGAATTTTCGGGGGATTTCGTAGCATAACGATGACATATAGCAATATTTCATTAGTAAAAGAGATTGATATGGTGTTTTTAAATGGCAATATATCAGCATATGAAGATATTGGGATATTTTAATGGATCAATATTTTTTCCCTCGACTTTAGAAGTTTTTAAGTCTGTAAAAAAGAAGTTTTTGAGGAAGAAGAAGAAGTAGTATTTTTATTTTTTTTTAGACTTTAGAAAGTCAGAAGCTAATCAAATATCGGGTTAAATATCGGTGGGGTGGCCGATGTCCGATATTCAGTTTTAAAGCCGATACCGATAGGGGGCCGATTATATCGTGCATCCCTAGTAAAATTATTTAAAACATGCGATTTTTCTTTCCTTCGTTTCCAAGAAACTGCAAAACATCAGTCAATTGATCATCGGGGCGTTAAGGGGACAGACTTTAATTCAATCTATTCAATAAACCTGCATAGCAGGAAATATATCATATCAGATATCTGATGGCATGGGCGGTTCTAGACAGGGGGCCACGGGGGCCAGTGCCCCTGAACATCATGTCCTGGCCCCTGTACTGAAGACATAAAACTCAAAGAAATTCTAATGATGATCTGCGCTGGAACAGACATGGTTACTGATAGGTCCTTTGGATCTATTTAATTTTTTTTCTTTACAAATTTTGTTTTACTAATTATTTAAAAACAATAAGGTGATAGCTTCAGTGGGATTGAGATAGGATCCCAGTTTTCAGCTGCTAATTTTTTTTTACAGCTAAATTTATCAGTTTTTCTTAAGTTCTAATTCAGATTTTATAGAAAACGGTTATTTAAAATAAGCCAAATATGTAAAATTAATTAATGCTGAATGTATATTGACCTAATAAGACATAGAATTTTAATTAAACCTAATTGAATAGAAATCTCACTTTATGCAGCTATATTATAATATATTTGAATCCCTTGCACTGTTTTTCATTTCATGCTTTTTGGTTCCCCCCTGGAAACACGCTGGAAAGTCAACTACTTCAGTGGTTTTTGTGTCTTTTTAGTGTTTCTGAAAGTCAGGTGCAAACTGACACGCAAAAATATCTGTAGTTATATTTTCCGTATTGCAGCCATTGGTACAAAGACAGAGGATGGAGAGAGATTCTGTGAGCATCTAAATATATTTGTACCGTCAGTAATGAAAATAATACAATCAAAATAATAAAGAAAAGCGTCTCTACAGGTCGGCTGTAATTAATGCATTGGACAATTGAACCAAAACAAAAAATAAAACAACTGAATTTAAATATTTACATTTTGTGGCATGTTTATATAAAAAAGAAATAGTAAAAGAGCAGGAAAGAGACATCGACAAAGTAATGTCTCGTAATTTTACGACTTTATTCTTGTAATTTAATTACTTTATTCTCAAAATTGTCTAAAGATCAGACTTGTGAATTTGTTAAAGGTGTTCAAAGTAAAAGTTCAATTAAATGATGTTTATTTCTATACGTCTATTCAATTCAATGCTTGTAGCAACAGTGGAGAGGAAAAACTCCTGTTAAGCAGGAAGAAACCTCCAGCAGAACCAGGCTCAGTGTGAGCGGCCATCTGCTGAGGCCCACTGGGGTTCAAGGAGACAGAAGGAGACATAGAAAAAGAAGCATAGATACAAAAGGAAACTGTCCATTAGCTCCACAGGCGGCCCCGTCCAGGAAACACACAGCCAGGCAGTCGAGCTCCGAGCCAGCTCCCATGTCAGAGGATGAAGAGAGCACATCCAGTTAGTCACAGTCAGAGAAACAGGACTACACTGGAAAACAGGCAGATCTCCAGCATCTAGAAACAAAGGTGTTTACGGCAGCAGCACAGCTGATATTTCTCTCCAGGATGGAGTCACAGCCAAACAGGAACAGACCAGATGAAGCTACTATGAGAAAAAGCAGAGAGAGCAGAATGCTAGAGATTGAACTAACAGATTCTGCAGAGTGGGAGAATAGAGAGAGAATGAAGCAGAATGATGAAAAAGGGGTCCCTATGTCCTCCAGCAGTCTAAGCCTATAGCAGCAGAACTATAGAGATAGCTCAGGATAACCTGAGCCACTCTAACTAGAAGCTTTATCAAAAAGGGATAGGAGATAGGCGAGATATGATCTCTCTTTTTCATTTTCATCAGGACTCTTGCTGCAGCTTTTTGGATCAGCTTTTGTACTTCTCCGCTCTAGTATTTGGTTTATTTCAGACTGAGGATGTTTGAAATCGTCTTTTTATCCTGATTCTCTCTCTGCAGGCTTCGCCCCACGGTCCGGCCTGGTGCTGGTGGCTGCTGTCGGTGCTCCAGCTGGACCCCGCCTATCAAACCACCTTCCTGTCGCTGACCTCTCTGAAGGACCGCCTGGGACACCTCCGCCTCGTCCTCGAGTACTTTTCTCAGAGCTAGATCCCAGAGCGCTGCCACAGCTTACCTAGGGTTCAACATAACGCACACAAAGAGTCAAACCAGCGAACGCACGCACAAAACACCGAGCTCCAGGTCGGCTTCAGGCTAAAAGCAGACAGCTGAGGATCTGACTTAGTTTTTAATTTCTGCCATTTGATTTTGCATATAAGGATCTTTGGAAACTTTTATATCGGACGAAACTTTGGGACAAACCAAAGACAGTTCTGGGTTATCAAAGCTTGCTCTACACAGAGAGTTTGAACCGGGTCACTTTTCCAAATATTGTGCTGTAGGTGGAAACTGGGTGATTATTATTAGTATTATTTTTTTCCCCCACATCACAAACAAAGAACATAAAACAGCCTCTGATGCCTGTTTTAGCCAAATGTGGAGACAGATTTGACATTAGAGGCTCATCTGGGGGATTTTATGGTGAAACCGGTAACATTAGTCCGATCTGTCGGCCTGCAGCCGTTGAATGTGGCCTGTTTTATACTGATAAGTGGTTTTAAAGTAAAGTACTTCTATTTAGCATTAAGGTTTGGCAATAACAACTGACCCTGCAGCAGGTGGAGGATGCAGGTGGAGGATGCTGCTTCACCTTAGCATTTATCTTAAGCAACTTTTTTGACTTTGTGACGTTTAAAAGATGCGATCGGCTGATAAGAAACGCAACATGCTTGTTTTTAGTAAAAAGATGCTCGACGTGTTTGTTTCAGGTGTAAATACATATGTTTTGGTTCCTGCTCATTCAGCATGAGGTGCTGTTAGCACCGATAGCACCGGCTGTTAAACTGTGTTAGCAGGTCTTAAGCAGGGACGGTCATCAGTTTGGATTTCACGACACCTACCTCTGGCCCCGAACTCCATCTCTGCATGGGTCTGGCCCGTCCTCCGCCGCCGGCCGCGGTTCCCTCTGAGTGCCTGGGCCCCATCTTCTGGGTGAAGTCTTAACATGTCTGCAGGACTTCAGCAGTGGACTGTTTCGTGTTTGGTTTCTATTTGCTGTAGTGCTACATTCCATGGAATGTTAAAGCTGTTAATTCTCTAACAACTACGGGCGTAACTGGGTGATTTTTTGTTTTGTTTTTTACACTTTAATAAATTTGCCATAGATATCTATGTGTTTAATGCTTTGAAGTTGTTACTGTTGTCTCATGAAAAGAAGCATTTTTTTGTTTGTTTGTTTGCTGGACGGGGCGACTACAGCCTGTGTTTGATGCCTAAAGCAAAGTCGGACGATTTTCTTTATCGTTGGCGGATTTGTATCTTTGACAGGGGAAGCTGCGCTGGTGTGGGGATGTTTCTATAGCTGTGGATAAAAACTGGCGTTTTTTTTACTTGAATTATCCCCATAGGTCGATCAATTGAATGAAACCAGTTGGTTAACAGGCTCATCTTTGTGATGGAAGTACTTCCTGATTAGAGCTATAATGTAAATCAAAAAGGGACTGACATCCTAAGATTGACGGAGACCTTCAGTTTTTTAATCTCTTCATTTCCATTTACTGATAACTTGCTGTTTACTGCAGGTGCATCTCAGCTGGAACCATGAAAATGACTCAGTTCAATACTTAGATCTATTAAACTTAACTCTGGATCTAAACTGACTTAGATGTTGTGCCCCTCTCCTCTTTCTTTGACTCTGGAATTAAAAATGGAAAAAAGCTCGACCCAAAACGAGGACTTTAGACCACTAAAATCCCACCCAGTCCTTTTCTTTTAGCTCAGATTCTCCAGACATTGTTGAGAGGTTTACGCTCTGCACAAATTTGAAACCCATCACCCCCAATCACGTGAATGAGCTTCTTACCAATCCCCTCAAGGCCACTTCCACCTTTACCTGTCGCACTTTTTCCTTCCACCCAACTTTTCATATCTATGTTTTGCTGCAGCTTTCTGTGAGTCTTCAGCTACTTTAGCAACGGCCTTTTGTGACTGACCCTCATCATGGATGGTTATGGAGTATGGAGGGAAAATTATTCCATTATTGTTGCAAAAAACGTGTTTCGTAAATGAAAATAAAACAAAATGCGACCAAGAAATGAAACAAAACAACTATTAAATCTTTCATGTAAATCAGCTGTTTTCTCAGATTTTACTTTCAAATATTTTTTTTATTATTTTATTTTGTCATTTAAAAAAAATATTTAATCAAAAAAACGTTTTTCATGTTTATTTTTATGAGTTTTATGAAATGCGTTTTATTAAATATTATTTTACAGAATTATTTTACTTTTTCTGCTGCATTTAGAGGCAAAGACACATTTTTATTGGTCTGTTTGGATGTTAGCGACATTTTTTTGGTAGTTTGTTTGCGTGGAACTTGAAGTGAAGATGGCGTGATCTGAAAAATGCTATTTTAAAAGAATGGAATTTGTCAAACTTAATCTGAAAAAAAAGGAAATTTGAAATGATAAAAATTATAAAAATAAAATAAAGATTAAGTCAGAAAAAAAAGGAAAAATAAAATTTGAAAAAACAGCAAAGTTACTCCTCAAAAACTTTTTTTAAATTAAGAATTTCCTCAAAGTTTTATCTCTGGATTTATTTTTATTTTTTTTATTTCCATTTGCAAAACATTTTTTTAGCTGCAACAATAATGGCACAAAGCTGACTCCATACAGTGGCTCCTAACCATTAGAGCTGTAAAGTCATCAGTCTTCCTCATCACCGACTTTGTCGTTTCATGATATTAACATCTGTTTGGGAAAAAAAAAATTAAACACTTTTTCTTGTTAATATTGTAATTGTAACATAGAAATAAATTTAGATCTTGATCTCTTGTAAGCCATTATTATCCGAAGTAACAGTAAGAAATGCTTGAAATGTAACATTCAGTATAATGAGCTATAAATTACATGACTTTAACTTTTTGAATTAAATTACTGGGATATTTAATCTTTTCTTTGATGTTCTGAGATCTTAAGATGCACCTGTGATGCTGTTTTTGCTTATTAGATAAAACTAGCCAAACTTCTCTTCTATGATTGTAATTTATTTTGTGCTCTCCCATCAGTCTGAATGATCTCTATCTGCCAAATTGAAATATCTTTTTTTTTTTTGCTCTATATTAACTGTCTACCCCCCCCCCCCCCCCCCCCCCCCCCCCCCAATGCTTTCTTTCAGTCGTCTGTATGATGAATTTCTCTGCTCATTTCATAGGTTTAGCTCCTGATGCATTTTAGTGCAGTGCCAGACTTTCAGTTCATTTTAACTGCTGCTTCAAAGCCCTGCAGATGTCTATTAACTTCTGGTGCTGTGTTATTGGATTTTTCAGAAAATGCCCTATAACACCTGTAAAACAATTTGCACTTGGCCCACATTGTCTCCCAGCAAAAGAACAATCATTTTAAGTCAGCCGCTGTTGGCGGCGATCCAGAAGCTCCGTGGCTGCAGGTACCTGAGCAGGAAGCGCTGGGCGGCGTGCTTTTTCTGCTCAGTGGTCTGTGGGTGATTTGACACGCTCGTTATCTCCTACATAACTAAAGTTTAGCATTTTCAGGAAAAGCGCAGTAAATCTTGATCTGATGACTTTGTAATAACTTTTCCCCTTTAATGACCTTTCAAGTGTTATAAATAAAGATTTTACAACACAAAAGTTACTTGATCTCTGTTTAATGAGTAGTTTTGTGATTCTTGAATAAAATCTTTCCAGAAGGATGGGAAATTATTATAAAACTAGCAGAAGCTGTACTTAGAGCAAAGAGAAAACTTGTTAAAGCAAAACAGAAGAGAAATAAAGCAGCACATTGTTAAAAGTAAAAGTCTGTTCATATTCAAACTTCTGAAAGTTCTTTGAATATGAAATTATTCCATCCTGTTCAATAAATGATCAGTGTTTTTAATTCAGAGTAATTTTCATGTGAATGTGCTTTACTGGAGGCATCCATGTTTGTCAAAGAACACTACTGCCACCTACTGGTTAGTGACGTCACGGTGCGGTATCGGCTGTTGATCAAGTCCCAGTGCTGTATCTGGTGTTTGTCACAACGCGCTATTATCCAAGTCATCTTGAAAACATTCTTCTTCCAAATGTTGGCTACATATTACGGGTTTTTTCTCTGGCCAGAAGTTCGATGGCAAATCCTCCCTCTTCAAGTTGGCGATCCAACGACCAACCCGTCCGTGGAGGATCAGGAATCAGAAAGGTGGAATAATTCACTTTTCCCCGATGTATTCCAGCATCCAGCTGCCATGCACGTGGGCATTGTCAGTTTCACTATAGCTCTGGTGAATTTCAATGGTGAAGTCCTCTGGAAACCTTCAATAATTGTTGTTGATTGCAGATGTGTCTAGTAGTTCCCATTGATTTAGCTTGGAAAGCGGGGAGAATGGCGCTAGGCTTACCGCACCGTGACGTCACTGCTGGAAGATGGCAGGAGGGAGGGGCTACTATATTTGGGCAAAAATGGCCGCCCCCCAGACTCAATGGTCGCAATGAAGAATATTATTTAATTTGTTTTTTTATTGATTAACACCAAATTCTTTAAATCACTTGGAACGTATTAGTTTTAGGTATAAATAATAATTACTGGTTATTCCTTGCTGACCGGACTTTTCCTTTAACAGAACCTTTAATAAAAGGTTTTTAGAGAAAAATGACCCACATGTGCCAAAAGGAAAATCAGAATGGATGCTTAGTGTATATAGTCTTCATTTATCATGATCAACTGGATTTGATTGGCATTAACATGGGTTGTTCAGTGGTGCAGTGGGTAGCCTTGCAGCAAGAAGGTTCTGGGTTCAATTCCCAGCCTGGGGTATTTCTCCATTGAGTTTGCATGTTCTCCCTGAGCATGCGTGGGTTCCCTCCGGGTACTCCAGCTTCCTCCCATAGTCCAAAAACATGACTGTTAGGTTAATTGGCGTGTCTAAATTCTCCGTGTGTGAATGGTTGTTTGTCTCTGTGTTGTCCTGCGATGGACTGGAGACCTGTCCAGTCTCACCCATTGAGTGCTGGAGATAGGCACCAGCACCCCTTGCAACCCCTCTTGGGACAAGTGTGTCAGATAATGGATGGATGGTATTAACATAAAATCTGTAAAAAATAACCCTCAATGTTTGCAACTAAAATATCTGATCATTTATATTGTTTGACAAAGTCTCTTATTTATTTGATTTTGCTCAGATTTCTCTCATGAGATGCAGGTTTTTTTTTGTCTCTTTTTCTAAATGAAGTTAAAGCAGGTTATGTGAACAAACACGGAAACCTGCAAAAGGCTCTAGGACTTTATTTTGAAAGAGCATATAAACAGAAAGTTAAAATCACTTTATGACTAATAATTTTCCTGTAGATTTCACTCAGTCTGCATTTTATTTTATTTTTGGAAAGAGAGAACAGTTTATCATACTATTATATATTGCATTGTAATCAGCCCTGTTCTGATCTGGGCAGCGTTCGTTCCCCCTTACTTACAATAATGAAAATTAGTCACTTAGGCGTTGTGTGGCCTTGCAGGTGAAACTGACTGAGTGAAAAACTTATAGGGAGTAAATCGCATAAATCAATATATGAAATAAGAGAAACAAACTTTTCTGGCCACAAGTTGTATGTTAAGCTTCTTCAATGGCCAAATAGAATAAAGGAACCTCTGGAAGAGGTTTAAGAGTTTAAATGAATCCAAATCAGAGAAGCTTTAGCTTGATTCTGAGAAGGAAACTAAGTTTTAGCTTCAGGTCTCAGTTAGAGATTCAGTAATTATTATTTCTGATCCTAAAGAAGCATTTATGAGGAATCAAGATTCTGGAATTTAGTTTACTGACTAAATGGACAACAAGTTTTCAGAAAAATACAAACAATATGGAAGAGATGATAGAACTGTAGAAAAAGTTTGTTTAAGCTTATCGTGTCAACATCCTCATCATCATAAAATGTCAAATTCTTTCTGTATAAGAGAAGTAATAAGGATGAACCAATCAGCAGTTTGTCACCTAAATCTACTTTCATTTCAGAAACTCCTTTTTTTATTTATTATTATTATTTATTTATTTATTTTTTACATTAAATCAAACTTGAATGATAACAATTTAAGTTTAATTTTCCTCATAGAAGTTTCTATGCACTAAACTTCAACATGTCTGTAAAATCAGCTTTAATAATTGGTTTTGGCTTTGAAAGCTTCCTTTAGGTTAA